GTTCCTGTATTAGCATCGTACCTTTGGAACAAGAAAAATATTATTGATGGTAAGCTTCGAATAGTTTTCACTGATCAATTAAAGCCATTCTTGTTTAAATTTCATATCTTAATTAGAGACGAATATGAATTCTTTTTCTGTCATTGGAATTAATCCTAGTCTAATTATAAAACTCGAGACTGAACTTAGTAATCTTTGAAATTTATTCCTCGATTTCATCGAACTCATACCTATTCAAATTGGCATTAGCATTTGTCAAGATATCTCTGAAGTATCTAAGTTTTCAGTCGTTTTTCACTATAAGACATTGAGATAGGTGACGTCTACTTACCGCTTGCCTATTGTTGTTCTTGAATTCTTATACTTGTTTTCTCTCAACCTTTCATAAATTTATCGCTGAAAGACTTAGCTCAGTTTTAAAAAAAAATGAAGGTATGAAATCCTTCCATTGTTACTCAGTTTTCTATAGCTTTTTTTTTTGTTGTTAGATATTGGTAAGCGAACGACGGAAGTTGCAAAGATCAAAATAGTTCCAAGTAAAATTTGTCATTTTTAGAAATTGCTATGTAATGTCTTTGCGTAATGCTCAAAGGAGTGTTGCCATAAATATAGTTCTGATTCGCTGTAAAAATCATAAACAGACGATTGAGACTATGTATCGTGATAAATTTCCGAACTAAGCCTTTGAAATTCCATCAATCACTGGACCACGATGTCAAATAATTGAATCATTTAACTGTCGAGGGATCTCTCATTACTACTTGTGAAAAGATAATAAAATTGGTTCAAAAATGCTATCAGGCATCATTTTAAACATAAATGATACATTAAATGTGTGACAACATTCTCATTGTTGAATTTCAAATGATTCAGAACTGAGATTACGCATGTTCTGTATACATTCAATGTTAGCGTAATTCAAAGGCTTTTAAATCTATTCTAAAACTTCAATATAGATATAGAAAAAGTACATAGTGAAAGGAAATGTTTACTATATAGCTTTGTTTTGTCATCTTTTGTAATTGTTCACGTTTTCTATGATTAAATTGATTGAGACAAAAATGAACCGGAAAATTCTACACCGATTCGAATTAGACTTGACATTGCTAAAGGCGAAATAAATTATGAAAAAACAACTTTCCTATTTGCAGTATTTCTATCATACATGGAGACTACTGATTCGGTTAGTATTTCTACTCTACAACTTATTGTCCCAGGTAGATTCAAAATAATAAAGCAATCACCTGAACAGAAGAACTCGACTTCTATACACTCTTATAATATTAATATCGTTTCCAAACATCACCAGTTTTCTTGTAAACTAATTTCGTCTTTACAGCAAACATACTTTCATATTCTCTTAAATCCAGGAAAACAAACCGAGCCATCAACAGAACAAAAACAACAACAGCAGCAAGCTTCATACATGTCTGAAGCTCTAACTGCTGCCCGATCTGAATTGAAATGTTGTGATGAAACCAATGCAGAACATTGTGACCAATATTCTCATATCATTGTTTCCCGACAGCAGGATGATGATCATATTGGCTCAAAACAAAGATCCAACAGTCATGACATTAGAAATGCCAAAAAACAAGAAGATTGCTCTCATCGAACTGTATCTCAGGAATCAGATGATGAACTCCTTTCTTATCATCGGCGATCGAACAGTTGTGACATCGAACACACCGACGATCGCGAATATTACTGTCATCCTAGTGCTTTCATAGAATTGGATGATAAACGTATGCCCTGTCCATGGGGATCGAACTGTCGTGACATTGGAGATGCTAAACACCAGGACAAATACTCCCATCCATCTACTGCCCACAAATCAGATGACAAACGTATTCCTTGTCAATGGGGATCGAACTGTCGTGATTTTGGAAATGTCAAACATCAGAAGAAATACTCTCATCCATCTACCACTCCCAAACCAGATGACAAACGT